GGAAAAAAGATAGAGACAGAGAGAAGCAGAGACACGTCTGGAGGCAGCAGTGCCCTGGTTTGGGGAAACCCGTTGGGGAAATCGGCACTTATTTTGGAGAGAGAAAAGGACAGGTAGGCAGAACTGTAGAATGAGGGACAGAGAGTTGAGGAGAGACTGACACAGAAAAACAGAACAGCTGGGTAACAGAACCAGAAGAAAAACTTATATAAAGATGTAGAGACAGAGGAAAAGAGAGATGAGAAGCAGATGAATCAAAGCAAAATAGATACAGAGAGAGGAGAAAAATCAGAGGAAACAGGCAGAACTGAAAGGAAGGGATAGAACGGAAAGAAAGAGGCAGACTCGCTGGGAGAAACGAGGTGGGAACGAGAGGGCAGCTGAGATGTGGGCAGTCAACTTCATGCCTCTGATCTTGGGTTGAAAAGCCTCCTTTTGGGGGTAAGGTCCACAGGGCATGGCTCTTAGCCCTGGTACTGGCCTTGGCCTCCCACACATCCCCACTTCTCCTTCACTTCTCCTTCGCATGTGGAGCTGGGGGTAGGGTGGAAGCAAAGCCTTTCGAAGTCCCCTCTGCGTTCCCCGCTCCTCTCCTCGCCACCTTCCAAGCTGCCTCTCTGGCTTTAGGATGAGGTTTCATTCTGTATTTCTGAACGTCTGAGTCTTTTGAGAGGTTCTGGGGCCCAGGAGAGAGTGAGGGGTCAGAAACCCAAACCAAAGACGTACTCTCGGTTTCTTCCCCTGCTCAACAGGCTTAGGGGAGCTTCCACCCAAGGAATCATTTCTCGGGGAGTGGGTCAGAAGAAACAGGCTCTCTTACAGATAATAACAGACACAATGCTGGTGAAGGGGAATACTTCACCTTCTTTGAAATGTTTAAGGACTTGACTCAGAGCAAATGAAACAACCACTAACTCCTGAACTTTCCAACCACCCCCTGCCAACAACTCATCACACAGTCAGAAAACTGAGTCCAGAAGGAACCTTCAGAGCCTAGCCACTCAGAGTCTTGTCCTGGGGGTGAAATAGAGGGATGTAGAAGAAGGCATGTCCATGGGAGTCATGACCATGGGCAATGGGGAGAGGGTGGCTTGGAGTTAGGGACTCTGTGGCCTAGTCTTGGCATTGCCACTAACTGATCTGATTCCTGGAACCAGGTCCTATCATATCTCTCTCCAGGCTTTGGTTCCCCTATGTAAAAAGTAAAGAGGTGAATAGCATGACCTATGTGCTTAAGCTTTGATTTTCTGTGTTTAGAAGTCAACACAAACAGTTTTTGGTGCCAGCTCCGCACGTGATCCTATGTTAGAGTTGTCAAGCTCAAGAGGAGCCAGGAAGAGGAGCTCGGCAGAGAGGAGCTCGAAGGGGCAAGAACTGGGGTAGGAGTGAGCAGGGAAAGCCGAGGTGGGAGTGATGGGGTATGAGGGAGAGGAGGAGCAAAGGAGCATGAAGGTAGAAAGGAGTCCCCAGGACGATCCTGGAGAAGTGCAGGGATGCCCTTGACCACTGAATCCTCTGCGTTTTTGAAGGGTTTAAAATGGAGCGGGGCCAGGAAAGGAGGTAGAGTAGCCCAAGCATCTGATCGAGTACCAGAGGACCTTGGAAGGAAAAGTAGTCTCCATGAGACAGGGAGTTTGTCCCCCACATCTATTCAGGAAACTTCTGGGCAAGTGCAAACTGGTCAGTCTCATTCCCTTGGATCCCTGAGGGGAGCCTATGGGTGACCTGCCTATGTTTGAATCTAGGGTCTGTTTCCACACTCGCTGCCAGCACTCTCACCCAGGCACCACTGGAGCAGGTTCAGAGCCTCTGCCCACAAAGAGGGAGAAACCCCCGTGGGAAGGGCTTCCCGGTGGGGAAAGCCCTGGCTCTCAAATGTGAAAGATGTAAAGGAGGGTGAACACCGGCAGGCTGGATAGGGAGCCAGCGGAAACTCGGCAGCTACCAGTGGTTTCTGGCAGGAATGACTCAGAAGGAAGCCTAGAAACCCTGATTCCATGCCCTACAGTAAGGAAACTGGGTCAAAACATGCTTCAGTCTCCAATACTATCAGTGGCCCAGTAACCGAGTAGCCACCGCCCTACTGGGCCACTGGGAGGTAATGAGACTGTAGCAAGTACAGGACAGGGGAGATCCACAGTCACAGAAGGCCCCAGAGGGAAGAGTCTCCTCTCTCTCTCTCAGAGAACCTCAAATCTGTCTGTCGGTCTGAGAGAGGCCTACCTAACTTGCCAGCAAGGACATCAAAACTCTCTGCAGGGTGTTTGCCCCCAACCTCCCACCCCCAGGAAACCCTCGCTGTGCTTGGGGATACCCAAAAGGAGAGAATCCCTGAACAAGAGATTCTGACAAGAAAAGCAATCAAATTTAGGCCAATGGTTAAGCAAAATGTATAGTGAAGAGTGGGAACTTCACATCTGAAGATCCGTGTCAGCGTTGCCATTTACCAGCCCAGGGGACGTGAGAAAAGTCCCTTTAATTCAGTGTCTTCTATCAGCAAGATGGTTCAAATGGGAAGAGGCTATTTCATAGGGTTGTGGAGAGGGTAAAATGAAGTAGCATCTGGTATAATGTATAAGAGCCATGAAATCTTGTTTGAGAGATGGACCACTCCATTTTAGATCTAGGAGATTGAAGGGTGATAAGGGTGATGAAGCCAGGAATGGCATGGGCACCTCTGTTGTCTCAGAGGCATTTTCATTCATCCAAGATCCTCTAATCTCTAAAAAACCTCTCCGTCTTTCCTGTAGGTTTGTAATGTCTCAGAGGCATTTTCATTCATCCAAGATCCTCTAACCTCTAAAAAAACCTCTCCATCTTTCCTGTAGGTTTGTAATGGCCAGCTTAATTTATTCAGAATTTGGCTTATTTTACTAACCAACTAAAATAAATACCAGCTCTGCCATCAGCCAGAGGCCCTGCTTGAGCTGACACCACTGCTTCATGGTTCAGTGGCATGGTTCATGGCAATCTCCTCCACACCTTTGGTTTCTGGGCTCAGCTCCGAAGGCAGAAGCTGTCCTGGCAGTGCCTGACATGCGAGTGATTTGTGTCTTCATTGCCAGGAGAGGCCAAGAAGCGGTTAGCCTTTTATGTACATGAACAAGTGGGTTTGCTACTGTGTCTGTTCTCTGGGTTCTCAAAACCACTAAAGGCTTCAGGTGGGCACATAATGTAGCTCTCAGAGCCACTTCTCCAAAGACCAAGACTGAAGATGTGATAGGCTAACTCTCTTCTTACTTCCAGCCTGTTGTCTCGAATGTTCATCTTTCTTTCTACTAAGCTGAATTCGTGGCAAGCAGATACCTAATCATTATTGTATCCCCAGCACTGAGGAGTTGATTTGAAATGCATTCAATTTGTTGGCACTTCATAGAGGTTTAAGTACTCAATGTTTTCCTTTAGACTAAACAGGCCTCAGGAACTGGGCATCTGTGTTTGTACATGTGGCCTCCACAACCATGGCCTTGCGTATATGGAGGGCACTGGCTTGTGCTGCAGGCAGTTTAGTTCTCCACGTGTGCATTTACAGACAACTACTCTATACAGATACCCCCAATTAAATTTGCTGTTTGGGTTCTAAAAGTCTTGTCGATGGTGGGTGTGGGGGAATTCAGAATAGGAAAGAGTTCACTTGCTGAATTTCTACTTGTGCCAAGTGCTCTGGACACAAAGATCTCATGGTTCCTGCCTCCAAAGGTTGTTTAAGGCCACACGGCCCATAAGCAGGGCAGTTGGGACTAGAATCCAGTATCCCGACTCCTCATTCACTGAGTTTGCATTGCAACTCACAACCTTCCACAAACCTTCAAACCAGCCCAGCCCATTAATGGAGGAAGAACAGAAGCATTCACAACCCCTGCTGAGATATCCATTTATTCATTTGTCCATACATTTGTCACTTAAACTACTATCTAAGCAGTGCCTACCACGTACCCGAAATTGTTTTAGGGCAGCACTGTACGTACAGTGAAGGATGGAGCAAACAGGGCCCAGCCTCTTAGAGCTAAGATCTAGCATACTGAGAGACATGAAAGAATTACAGAAAAATTCCCAACTACAAATGTAGTGTTATGTTGAATAAATATTGTGATGAGAGTAAAATAGGGAGACTTTGTTTAGATTAGTAAGTCCAGGAAGGACTCTGAGGAAGTGCTGTACCTACAAGCTGAGTCTCGAAGGCCGAGTAGTAAACCAGGTGGAAGAAGGTGGCGGACCGGCAGGAAAGCATGAGCTAGGCAGGGGGAAATGTGCAGACAAGAAAGAGTTTGACCCTTTGGAGGACTTGAAAAAGGTAGGCAGGTGCTAGATCATGAAGGGCCTTGTAAGCCATGTAATGGGTTGTGGATTTTAAGAAACTAAAATGGGCAGAGAGTGAAGAGGTTTAGATAAAGGAGTGACATGATCAGATTTGAACCCTGGAATGATCGCTCTGGATGCTATAGAAGAAAATGGATTGGAAGTGGGAAAGGGTGAAATAGAAGACCAGGTAGGAACTGGCTGCAGGATTTTAGGCAGACGATGTTGTGGCTTGGCCTGGTGGTAGCAGTGGAGATCTGGAAAGGGAGTGGACAAGTGTAAAAATGGTAGCATGCAGAGGTTCTGCCCCAATAAGGACACAGTCACAAAGCTTCCTGCCTTTGCCAGGATCTCAGAAATCTGTACAGACCAAGAGAAGAGGCAGCACAGAGTGCCGTCTATTGACCTTATGTTCTAAGCTAAGCACTTTACATATTGGTTTACCATTATCTACCATCATCCCACCTTAATAGATAAGGACCCCAAGCCTCAGAGAGGTCAAGTAACTAGCCCATCACAAAGTGAATGTTGGTCAGTTTGACTGTAGAACCTATGCTCTTAACCACTCCTTGTCCTTGTCAGATTTTGCTGTTATTCGTCCATCTCAGGCTCAGAAAAGACTTTGTTAGGGGGTGTCAGAAACACCATGTCTGTCAGGAATCACCAAATCACAATGGTTATGACAATATTGCTTTCCCACTTTATTCCCTTCTCCCCCAAATCAAAGACCAGCTGACCTGTGTGCTGAGGAAACTAGAGTATCAAAAAAGTCACTAACATCATTGCAGCTTTCTCAAGCATCCCTTTCCTTATCCTTACTAGTAAACGGAACCACCCCCTTTGAGCTGACCTCAAAATTTTACGTCAATAATATCAAAGAAAGTGATTTAGAATCCATCCTTCACAGTCAGCTCCAAGGCAAGAAACTTGTCTTTGAACTTATCACCTAAGTCACACCTCAAACAATCCGCCTATCAACCAGGCATTTCTTCACCTTGGATATCACCACAGGTCATTTGACCGGGTTTTTCCCATTGTCTGGTGTGACAGAATGAAGTTTACTCTGGTGATAAGCTCAGAAGCTCCAGAACCAAGTCAAGAAGTGTCAATACCCAGCGTTGACCCTATGCTCACCAGCACAGCTTCAACTTTCTTTTTCCCCATGCCTTCCTCTCCTCAGAAGTTCAATCTCTAGCCTCCACCATCTTGATTTTGGAGGTCTTCTCTTCTTGGCCCCCATGAGAGACAGGCACACCCATCTAGCCTAGGGTTGCCCTCAGGAGTTTGGCTACCTTTTGCCTCAGTGCTAGCCACAACCGGCAGGCTGCAACCATCATGTCGGCCTCCTCTTGGCCCCAGGACCAATGTTATAGTCAAAGGAGAAACAGGTGCAACCTCATTCTCTCTCCAACCTCAGCTAAAGGAACCAAAGACCAGGGGATGGGGACACATGACTTCTTTTGTTTAACGGATGTCTATGAAATAATTCCTGTGTGCCAGGTACTACAGACATCATGTGATCAGTGATCCTAAGGGCATTTTGAGGTAGCATCTTTCCTCACCTTGAATTCTAGGAACAATAGAGAAAATATATCCAGCAATCACAATCGCAGTTCCTGTTTCCTGCAAGATAACAGCAGGAACACAAACCATTGTCGCTTGTCATAGTCCCTACAGCATCAGCTCCAACACCCATCACATCCATCGTCCTTGAGGGGCAGCTCTGGGAACTTCCCAGCTCCTAAACCCTGACCACAGAGATGCAGAAGCCTGAAATCACCCGCTGCCCAGGAAACGCTCAGAAATTTCAGTCTTTAGTCACCAAGAATTTCTGAGGGCATGACAGAGTCTTCATCTTGTCCTGGGAAGTGCAGACTTGTGTGTGAGCATCTGTGAGAGGGGCTGAGGCTGCATCCCTATGTGATGAGAATGGGGGCTATGCTGATTCTGAAGCTGAGACAAGTATAAACGGCTCTTGGCTCCCTACATAGGGTAGTTCTGCCTCCCTCCAACTTCTCTATACCTTTCAGAGCGCCTGCTGCCCATCTGGGAGTCAATTTTTTCTTCAAAGCTATTCCTATAATTAGGTGCTTGGCTCTATACTGCCCTAGGCACAACCTGGCTAAGAGCTCCATGAATCAGGAAATAAGAGCAGAAAAGTGAAACTTTGTGGGCGACATGGCTAATGGGTTCCTCACCTCCAGTTCCAGGAATAACTCAAAACAAACAAACCATGCATCAAAAATAAGTCTCTGCCCACAGTAAGTAAATCTTCACGTAAGACACAGGCTTTGTTTTCTCTTCAGGGAGTGGCTTCACCACTCTGTGGAAACGCTATCTCCCACCATCATCACCACTTCTGCCACCACTCCTTTACCCGAGTCAACAACACACCCATCACCTCCTCATACCTGTGGAGTCACTAGAAGGCCACACAAGAGAAATGATGCATATTAACATCACCAACCTTGCAGCCTGGAAAGGACTAAGGGAAAGGAGTAAGACAACTGCTGGACATCTCCCACCAGACACAGTTCAAAGGGAGAAAAACAACACCTTACTGAGTGCTCTCTGACTCCAGCGGTAGCAGAGAAACCTATGGGGGTTTCCAGGGATCAGAGGGAGGAACACCTCCACCTCAGTGCCAGCTCCAGTGCTCTCCCTGTCCCTGGATGCAGGCTCCTCCTTTGAGAGAACTTCTTAAAAACTATCCATTTTAAGCAATATCGCACATATCTTTTGACAGCAGTCTTGTCATCCCAAGGGGTCAAGAGCCATCACAACTTACTCTGACATCATCACAGAAAAGGAGACACCAGGAAAATTGGCAGAAATATCCTGCTGTCACATCAGTTGCCCCTGAAAATGTGCCAGACTTGTTCTCAGGCTCAGACCACTGAGCATGTGGCAGACCAAGAACTCAGGGAAGGTCAGTCACCATTTCTCCATCCCTTGCTTCAGCTCTCCTGAGATAGGCTTAGAAGAGCTCGACTGTGGAGAGGCCATGCACACAATGACTGTCCCATAGCTGAGCACCAGCTCACACCTTCTAAGTCTTTACTCTTACCTTCGGGCCCCAGTCCTGTCACTTACAAAATATGTAATGTTGAGTAGTCACATAGCCTTTCCAAATCTCAGTTTCCTCATCTGTTAAACTATAACTAAGAGAAACTCTAAAGAACTATACAAATATGCGGCATCGACATTTTTATCATGTATAGAGTCAAAATGTGCCTAGTGAGAGAAGTACAAAAGAAATCCCTATTTTCAACTGCCTAGGTTAATTAATCACAAGTCAGTTGACACTCAAGAACTCAAAGTGAAGACGATGTCTTCCAAAGAAACCGCCTTGGTAATGGGCATTTTTTATTACAGAAATCATTCTGCAGTGCAGATAGACCCATTGACAAAATTCTTGAACACTCTTCTCAGCCACAACCAGAGGAAGGTCAGCCAGTACCAAATCACCTCTCTCTGAGGACACATGCTTCAGGATCCTTGTTTCCCTATCACAGCTGTGAGAGGATGACAGGAACCTATATCTATATCCTTGGCTCCAATAAAACAATGAGACTAGTGCCCTTAGGATCCAAGCAACTGCCTTCCAGGGCAGGCAATACAGGCAATTTCTTTTTCTTTTCTTTTTTTTAACACCTAAGGGAGTTTTAAAGATTATATATGTATTATTGGGAAACAAAATCACAAGGCAAAAAAAGTTGGGGAGCTTTGATTTAGAAAACTGGTTTTTAGTTACTTTTTCCTCCCTTGCTATAACAGCATTCTTTGTGATCTGGTAAATTGTTTTGTTTTGTTTTTTTAAAGCCTCAACAAAGTCAATATTGATCACATCAATTGGTCTGTTCAAAGACATTTGTTAGTCATAAATTATTATTCCTCCTGCCTTTCTACCATGAGCATGTACTTAATAACATACAATTTTCACGAGTTTGCCAGGTAATTGCCGCTTGGGCAATCCACCCATCCTCTGGCACAGCGCTCTTGTTTCATATTCAGCTATTTTATCAAATGGAATGGTTAGTGCTATTCAATTTTGATTTGTCCATTAGATCAAGGGAATCCTGTACATTTACGGCTATTTACTTTATTCCAAGGCTTAGGGCTATATCCCTAATCCCACAGGGCAAATATATGCCAGTTATATAAGAAATAGGAAGTGTGGGTGACTTATATAGCACTTCAAAATATATATAGTACACTGTAGTGGGTCAGTTACATCCATTATTGAGGTATATTTAGATATCTTTGACCTGATTGCATTAAAAGACTGTTTTAAAGTGGGAAACTTCCTCAAAATAGTGAAGATGAAACAAAGAAGTGAGCACTTTTACTGTACTTTATCCTTTCTGAGCAGTTTGTCTGAGGTAATAATCAAATGAGCTCATTGATTTTCCATATTTATTTTATTGTTAATACATTTCATATAATTTATAATTGATTTTAAAGAGTCATACTCTTACAGTTTTTTTTTTTTTTGGGTGGGGAGCTCATCTAACATCTTAGTTGTGAACCTAACTTTACATACTTTGTGAAGTTTCTTATGCATACTTAAATATCTTTCTACCTGTAAAAATGTAAATGTTGGATCACTCACTAATATGCACCAATATCTCTAATAGAAAAAATTAATTCAAACAGATTTAGACTAAACTGAAACGAATATTACTGGTCTTCCTGTCTCCAGTTCCCACGAGTCTGTTACACCCGGCTTCTAACTGTCTACCTTATATCTACTACACTCCTGAAAGCCCTCCAAACGTTTCTAGATCTTAGCAGTTACACAAATCTTATTCCATGAGACTCAACATAAGTATGCCTATCACAATTCGAATTACATTCAAAGTCTACGGCCATGCCATCCTGAACGTGCCCGATCTCATCTGATCTCAGAAGCTAAGCAGGGTCGGGCCTGGTTAGTGCTTGGATGGGAGACCACCTAGGAAGACCAGGTGCTGTAGGCGTTTAAAAAAAAAAAATTACGTTCAAAACTGTAAAATGATCAATTAAAAAAAAATGGCTCCCGCCCACTTCCTCTTTTATTCACTGTCGGTTCTCATCTATTTCAACAATAAGTACATTGTATTCAAAAAGATGAGGAAGGTGGTGAAGTTTGTGAAGAGAGGACCTATTTTTTCTTAAGGATACAAAGAGTGGAGTTCTTTCAGATTCATGCCAGTGAAATAATAGGGGCAAGAATAGAATCAGAGAGAATAAGAAAATAGAATTTGGAAAGGGAAAAATAAGTAATTAAGCAGACAATGAGGTAAGAGAGACAGTACAGCCACGGGATACATTCGAGGACCCATCCAGTCCACAAAGAAAGAGGTGACCTCCGACCGCAGTGCACCGGAAGTCTGCTCATCAGTCACCGGCCATGTGTAATCTGTTCAGCATGAGGAGGCTTTATGGAGAAGTGCACAATCTGGTGCTGATCTCCCAACATAAGTTTCTTCTGATGAGAAGGATCAAGTATCTCTCGAATAGTGTATGGTGGCACAGCTTGGCTCGAGCTTTGTAGATGCTCTATGGGAGAAACAATGAGACCAGAACAAATGGCATCTGCTTGGGGCAGTTGCACGTATCTTGCTGGGTGGTAAGTGACTGTGTCTCAGCCTAGGCTCTCTTCCACCCAGTCAGCCCTGACTTCACTCCTCCGCCTCCAGCTCTGGCGCCCCCCCGGAACTCGGCTCTCCCCACTCAGGATGCAGCTCAGAGTCAGCTCCCCACCTCACTGCACCCCATTTCCAGCTCTGCCTCACTTGCTCACCGGGTTCTGGCTCCCTGGGCACAGGCATTTTGTAAAGCCATTCCTGTAAGGAGGCAATATAAGAAACTCGCCTTCCTGGTTCCCCTAGTCGAAGATCAATCCAGCCATGGTGAAAGCTAAGAGTCAAGGTGGGGAATGGAGGAATCAGAAGAAGCAGTTAAGAGGCTGCTGCCATAGTTAGAGTAATGAGAGTAACGTAGCAAAGTGAACAGGGGACCGTGATGGGAGAAACATTTTAGATTAATCGTAGATGGTGCCAAACTATGATGTTTGGGATAAGAAAGGGAGAGGAATCCAAGATGGCTCAGGGGTTTCTGGCCTGCATATCTGGGGGACTGATGCTACAATTAACATAAAGAAGGAAAATAGAAGAAATAGTTCAAGAAAAAATTCACCTTCGATATGGTGCATTTGACAGGCCAGCCAGGAAATTGCTGGAAAGGTGAGTCTAGAAAATGGATGTGAAGTTAGGGTAGAATTATAGATTTGTAAGGCATGAAAGATGCAATTTAGCCAGAGAGAAAGTGTAAGAGAGGGAGAGGGCTGGAAATGATACCCATAAGGCTGACTTCTTCTGGGAGCTGAGAAGAGAAGTGGCAGAGGGAACAGAAGGAACAGAGAAAGTTGTGCGGAGAAGACTCATTCAGCTTCAAGGAGAGCAATGCCATGCGGATGTCAAGGGACACTGTTCAAAGACAGACTATTGAAGTAGTTGCTCAATAAATATTTGTTAATGAATGAATAGATGGATGGTGCCAAATTTCACAGAGACTAATGGGGCCTGAGAAGGAAATTGTTTGTGGTGATTAGGAAGGAGTTTTTTGGTAACTTTTGAGAAAAGTGGTTTTAGTGAGATGATTCAGGTGTGAGGAGTAGATGAAAAAGAGGTGAAAAGTATAGACCCCTCTTTCAGGATGCTCATGGGTGAAACAAAAGATGGGAATAAGGAGGACACAGAAGATGAAAGACTTTTATTTTAAATTAAGAGAGACCTAAACGTGATTGTCAGCAGAAGAGAAGGCGTGAGTAAAGAGACTCTTGGACAGAAAAGTAATGGACTGAGCCATCTGAGGGAGGATGGGAACAAACACAGCAGAGTGTGTGTGTGTGTGTGTGTGTGTGTGTGTGTGTGTGTGCGCGCGCGCACACACGCGTGCGCGTGCCTACAGCCTTTGAGGGGAGATTTAGCCTCTCTTCTGATGTAGGATAAGGGACATTTCCTGGTTCTGGGACATCAAAGGAAATCATGTTAAATGGCTTTAGTCTTTCTAGTGAAGTAAAAAATGAAGTGTCATAAAAAAAGGAAGGAGAGGAGGGAAGAAAAAAGGAGAGACCTGTTTCTCTCAAATATCAACTCTTTACAGTCAAATCCCTAGCTCTCTGCTCTGCAAGTATGTATTTGGCCAGAACAGCAGACGTTGGTTGTATAACAACAGACGTTGGTTGGAAACCCAAGAGCCTGACTTACACTCTGGTAAAAGACAAGGTCAGTGCATTCCAGCAAAGCTTGAGCAGCAAGAATAAGGCTGATAATATTCTTTAAAACAAAGTGTGATCAAGACCCCAGATTTCTGTGCCTTACAACTTCAATAAGGTGGTTTTAGCTGACACAAAATTTTAAGAGCAGATATTATTATTTTATTTTAAGATGTTTCTTAAAATGTGGTCCATAGACCACCTGAATCAGAATCACCCGAGGTATGTGTTAAAATGCAGATTCCTGGACCCCACCTCCATACATAGAGACTCTGGTCATGGGCCTCAGAGTACATTTTTATATGCTCCCCCAGGGATTCGAATGTACCCTATCTTTTAAGAATAACTTTCTTACCAAAAAGAACTTCTCCGTAGCCCTCCCCCGCTCACCAGGATTTCTTGCTGAAGAATAACCTACTCAAGTTTAGTAGGCTGGGTTACCTGCAAACTCTTTTTTCCTTAATAGCTAAATAATCCGTTAAAGGAGTGGCTTAAGCTATGTTGTTTTAACAGTGGTGAAAGACAAACACAATACTGTAGTTTTGATGTAACTACTGCTAATCTTTTCCTTCTAGCCCTCCCCCGCTCACCAGGATTTCTTGCTGAAGAATAACCTACTCAAGTTTAGTAGGCTGGGTTACCTGCAAACTCTTTTTTCCTTAATAGCTAAATAATCCGTTAAAGGAGTGGCTTAAGCTATGTTGTTTTAACAGTGGTGAAAGACAAACACAATACTGTAGTTTTGATGTAACTACTGCTAATCTTTTCCTTCTAGCAACAAGCCCAACAGATTTAGAGACTTATTAAGACTGCACCTGCTCTTCCCTA